CCCCCCCCCCCACCGCCACGACAAAGCAGAAACGAAAGAGAGTGTAGGTCAAGCGTGTTGGGGATAAGCACAACTGAAACAAGACGCAGGAAAGAGTCTTCGACAAAGAGAAAACCGGCACAATCAAAAAACACCAAACCTTATCCGCAGCGCGTAGATCAATCATAATCTAGCAACATGATAGCCAAAGATGCTGCGTGCCCGCGCACTACCTTGGAGAAAAAGACGGCGGGGAAGGAAGAGAGATTGACACCAACTTCATCTTCTCGAACGGCAGTGGCACGCCTACTAATACTTGGCGGGGTGGTGGTGGTCGTGAACGGTGGCGCGCACAATTGTGTTTTGTGATTCGACAAATTGGTATCCGAGAAGAAGCAAAGGAAGCACGGAAAATGGGGGCATCTGCAATATGTACGCGGAGACTCTCGGTGCACCCCGTTCACCGAGTGAAGCACTCTTGGCAGCGAGCAAGAGAGAGAGGGCGCATGGCTCGAAGGTGCTCAGGGATGCAGGAAGGTACCACATGACGACAACTAGAAGCAGCAGCCAAATTCCACCCACCTGCACAACTACGCTTGAGCTCCACGCACCTCCTTCACTTGGCAATGTCTCGTGTGTATACGATGTTACTCCACTAGCAAACAACCTCGTACACCCCTCCAATCATTCCCACGAGACGAAGAGTTGATCTGTGTAGACACACAAACAACCACCACCAACGACAACAAGACAACCCCCCGCGACCAGCTTCCTGCAACCCCACCTGCAAGTCACGCTTCAGCTCCGGCGTCATCTCCGCTTGCTCCATGTTGAACCAACCCTTTCCAGCCGTGTCGTCCTTTGGTGCCTTACTCCTCTCCAACAGCTGTTGTTTATCGCATGCACGCGTCAAACAAGCCGGGCATAGGAGGTGTAAAGGAGGAATTTGTATCTGGCATGAGTTCAACGATTGTTGTGGGGCATACATCAGACACAATGACGGAGCCCCACGCGCGCACACACGCATCAACGGTGGGAACGGCGGGACGGGAGGATATGACTGATGATCTTGCCACGTGTGAGATACACCAGAAGAACGGCTCGGGTCTTAACCACACAAACTCACCCAACAAGCATTTGCTATACGTCTGACTTATTCTCAGATGGTGGCGGCAGACGGGAAGCAGAGGCACGCACACACGCAGCGGAGGAATAGGGGCAAGGGGCGGGCGCGATGTTGCCAACCGGGGGGGAAGAACGGGGGGAAAGTTTCACAGTTCAATAGCAAACCCTGTTCGGTCCGGCATGCCTTCTTAACGCTCTCAATGCGTTGTGTATGACGCAACACGGTGGGGACACTGTACAACAAACATCTTGCCGTCCACGGCAACACCGCTGTACGCGATGTAGCGCTCAGCGCCACACGGCTGCCGCGGGAAAAAAGCGTCTTACGAAGGACTACCACACGGCACGCACCATGGCTCTATTGCGGCCGCTGTAAAGAGAGCTCCCCGCCATGAGCTTGGCTGCCTTGCCACCGTCCACCACGCCCGACGACACAGAGGCCTGAGAAAACCAACGTCGGAAGGGGGGGGCAGCGTCGGAGAAAATCGGAGGACTCGTAGGAAGACAATATGCCACGAACGGGGGGAGGGGGGGGGCTACTCTGAGGTTTTGCATGCCTTAGCGGTTAGACCATTGACCACGCGTCCTCGAGAGGACGGAGCATTGTTCCCACAGGATCGATCACCGATGGCCAATCGTTCCTTTCTACTTTGCCAAAGGTAGCTCAAAAATGTCTTCCCTAGTCTGTCTATCCTAACAATATCCCTTCCCGCCTTTTCAACCCACCTCCTATGCCCCAGTACAGCGTCCTTTCCTCTCTATGCCATGCCTCAAACATCTCCCTGTACGTCCCATCTATTTTTCACAGCTCAGTCACGTACACTTCCCTCTCCTTCTTGTACCACGGACATTCCGCGACTACATGAACACGGTCTTCGCATTCGAAGCCGCAATCACATTTGAACTCATCGTCTTCGTCGTCTACTGCCCTATGTCTTCGTCGACGTTCTCGGAGGCCTATGTCCCCGGTCCTGATTTTGACCTTAAGCTTTGTTCTTGCATCCATTGGTCCATGTAGGTAATCCTTGCACCCGATTCCTTCCTTCAACATTCCGTACACTTCTACACCCTCCTTATCCTTGGTTTCTTTCTTTAGATTCTGTACTTCTCTCTCGGCACAAGCAACATATCTCTTCTCCTTGAACCCCCGTAGACCCTCCGTTTCCAGTGTTTCATCTTCGTCGATGTCGAGCCCCTTCCATACGTCCTCTATAACCTCGACCCATTCTGTGGGCTGTCCACCCCTCTGTTTGTTTGCCCACTTCGCCTCCAATTCAATTCTCGCCAACCTCTCCTCTCCCATTCCGCACGATACTGCCATGTCAGCGTCCTCGGGGGGAGGGGTGGGGGGGGGTGTACTCATAGTCGTGCATGCCGTAGTCGTTACACCATTGACCTCGCATCCCTACAAAGCC